TATTATTATTATTATTATTATTACACAATCAGTTCTTGTTTGGTAAATCAGTCTCAAAGCAAGATCAAAAAGAGTTTTTGGCTGGATATAAGATTTTAAAACTTGGTCAGATGGACAGTTTTTGCAGTGTGTAAAACTGGCTGTTTTGGCCATTTTGTGTTGTTAATTTGCTGTGGTGACTTGAACTGGGTTGACTCCAAAATATTACCAGTTGTAAATTCACTTACAATAAATACTATCTGAGAATATTCTGCCAATGCTGCAGACAAACAAACTCACTTACACACAAAAAAACACACACACAGATAAGCAAAATATTATAGCTGCTTCACCTTTGGTGGCTGGGGGTAGTTAAAAGTCTGCTTGGACTGTCAGAAAAAAACTAATAACCAACTGGGGGATCTGTTCGTACTTAAAGACCAACAATCTGTGTGGTGAAGTGTAACTTCAAAAGGCATGCTCTAGATGTCAGTGTATACTTGTGTCAGAGATTTTTGCTTCAGGTCTACTGTAACTTCTAAATAATACTTATGATACATTACATTTTCTTGCAAAACACCCAATAAAGCTCTGTAAACAGCCTGAAATAATTTAATGCAAAGAGGGATGCATCAACATAGTAGCTAAAAAATACATTTTCTACTAAAATGCAGCATGAAATCTTGAGCGCGAGTTAAGTTAAAGAAAGTCCAAAAAATGCTAAAGCGAAGAATGAAATGGCCAAAAGGAAAGCTGAAACCAGCTGAAAAATAGCTAAAAGCTAAAATGAGCAACACAATGGCTTAAAATTAAAAATAAAACAAAAAGAAGCTTTTAAAGAGCAAAAAGTTGTTCAAGGATTTGAAGAAAGGCCAATGCATGTCTTTGAAAAAAAAAATGCAATTAAAGCCAAGTCAGTCAGAAAGTATAATGACTGCAAAAACGTCATAGGTGTAATATCCTGAACCTTTTGATACCCGAATGGCTGAAGTGGTCAGTTCAAATAAAACAGAAAAAACTTTAAACAAAAAAACAACAGCATTAATGCTGACTCAGCACTCACACAACCAATCTCACATGGTACACTGAACAAATGTGTAATGGAGCAAAATATAAAAGACCAATTCATCTTAAGGCCTTACTGGTAAATGTGTAGACTTTGTTTGAGCAAACTTTTTTTTTTTTTTTTTTAGTGATTCACACTTTTCTTTCTCTTCCTGCCTGCAACAGTAGAATTACGTTTCGTGTTTGGTTTTTGGTGTTAATCTCTTCCTTTGCAGAACTCCGGAGCGAGAATCCTCAGAGTCCTCAAAGCTGGGAATTCTGACTTTGTGGCCGCAGCCTGTGCAGAGACAGATAGGCACGCCTGTTTTATATGTAAAGCTTCCCGTCAGAAAGCACAGTCCACAGGGTACTCTGCACAACCCCTTTGTTGGACCAAAACTGTGGCTCGGGTCCTGTACTGTCTGAGCCGCGTTTCATTCTGGATGCAGGAGAGATCAAAAAG